TCAAGCCACTGTTACAGGTGACCCAGGGGAGTCACACTTTCAAACAAACACTGGCCTCCTGCCCTTGAAAGCAGATGGGAGGGACACACTTCCCCAGGTCAACAGCTTCCGACACACAGCCACATACCAAGATATGACCCTACATTAACACAGGAACCCATCACCACATCCTTTACAGCACAGGAGGGAACATGCCATCTCAAACTAGGAGGTGCAACATATCCATGGCCTCTTCTAGGCTATGCAGCAGGGCTGGAGATCCTCTATGTGGGTAATACTGCCCTATTGGGTCCTTAAGTTTCCAACAGCCAGAGCTTGCAGCCAGGTAAGCTTGGGCTCAGTGATCAAGGAGAGCAACATGCAAGGCCAGCATATGCAGTCCCACACAACTGCCCTCTAGAGAAACCCACCCCAGCAGCTCTGGGCTAGCTGGAGGCAGGATCTCACATCTGTGCTCTGCCACTGTGCCCTACCACAGGATAACAACTGGGCAGTTGGGCTTGAGACTGTTCTTTCCCATAGGGCACAGAGCAAGGGTCAACATCTTGTCCTTGTCCACAAGACTAGGTGTAGGAGATGATGTTCACTAGACAGAAGGACAGAGCAAGCCTCAGCACCATCACTGCTCCCATCTTCAAGCAAGACCCAGCAGGTGAACCCAAAGAAAGCCTCACCACCCCAGACACACCAAGAAGAGCCCAGAATTTGTGTAAGCCTCTAGCTCAACACCCACCTGCCATCCAGCCATCATCCAAAGCATCCCAACATCCCTCTCTGTTGAGGCTGAACTGAGGAGGACAGCAGGCTCTGGGACAGGCAGCCTCTCAACCACATCATGACCCTGCGGTGCAGTGGTCAAAGTGACCTTACCAAGCCTGTGGCATCCACTCCTACCATGCATCTCCTCACAGTGCTGGTACCACTGCCTGCCTCAGGGTCCCTCTTCATCAGACACACTGCACTGGCTCAGGATCACAGTTATGCTGATGGACTTAAGTATGGCCCAGGTGCATCAGCGCCAGTGGGGCTGCATCCCACTGCCCTGCTCCCTCACCAAGTCCAACTTCACAGCACTGGGCACGTGGGAGGAAACCAGTTTCAGCCATCCCACATGGCACATGGGTCTTTTAAAGCACAATTTAATTACCTTCACTTACAGCCTCTGCCACATGAGCCATCCTCACGTAGCAGTGGCTGTTGCTGCAGAAGGTACTTTCCTGCTCTAAAGGTAGCCCATGATGCAAAGGCATCCCTGGGAACACGTTTTTGAGACTGCTCATCTCCAGATCTGAGAAGGCTACTGGGTTCCAGCT